CAGTAAGGCAGGAAAGGGACCGCTTAAAAAGTTCTTCAGAGTGTGAGAAAATATTGGGAACTATTTTTGTGGCATGCCTAAATAATAGGGGTTTACTAGACTGCTGGCTGGCGAACCTGAATAGTGAATTCATTTTGCTTCTGCTTCCCTTGTGATGTGTGTAATGTGTTGATATATTTTTTCTCTTGCGGATTTTATTCCACTTGGAGAGAAAAGCACCTTTTCCCACTTGTGGAAAAGCGGCATGCCTACCAGGGAGTGCAAGTGCAAGGTGGGCCAACTCTGTCCCTTCCACAGAGGTAAGAGCAGGGGGATACATGTCCAAGGCTGCATTCTTTGAGGGACAAATAAGCAGCAGAGGCGCCTAGAGATCGTGATGATGAGTGTGGCTGAGGAACCTGCAGACAAGAATACATACGCCTACGAACCAAGCCCAGCCCTGCTCCTGCTGACAGCAGAGGTAAATAAATGCTCATTGAACTTGGCAGGAAAAGGATCAGATTAATAACTCGCTCTGGCATGAGCAACAAAGAGACTGATACAGGATTGAAGTCAAAACCTTTCTCAGAGTAATTTCTCAGGACTGGAACTTGCAAATGCACTGGTTATCTCTGTCTCCAGTATAAAAGGTTGGTATTTTGCAGGCCACATGCATTTTGCTATTCAGACACAGGCGAATGTTTACAATGCTAAGTACAACCCAGCTTCCACTCATCTACACCAGAAGCTCCAGTGCTGACCGCAAAACACAGCACTGAGACAAGGTGCCAATGCTTTGAAAGGCTGTATAATTCACAAAAGGTACCTGACTCAGAAACAAGGTTACTGGTTTCATTTTTCTGTCAAGGAGGTTAAGGCCAGCCTGAGCCTTTTAAATGGGCTGGCGCTCTGCTTCCTATTGATTGCCCGGTACAAGCACTAATGCTCTTCTCCAACTCAAATTACTCATTCAGCTGATGAATCTGGACTTCCACCAAGTGTCTTTTTCCTCCAGCAGGTCTCTCCATGACTATTTCTATGCTATTACTGAGTCCTATTGCATCATGTGGGTCTGAATGACATGAGACTTACCTTTGTTTCATTTACTTAGTGGCTTGCAGTGAACAATCTCAATTGAATGTAAGTGTGGTAGGAACATCCATGCCTGTGTCCCCAGCCAAATTTCTTAAGCATGAATCAATAGTTCATCTCCCTCTTGGATGCTATAAATCCTGACTCCCTGGTGGCCAAAATGCGATGGCTTCGGGGGGAATGGGAGGCCTACTCGGCCCTGGTGTGTTAGGACAAGCTCTTGGAAGGTGGTGGAGATGTGCATGAATCACATCAGACTTTGAGGCAAGGAAACCTAGTATTTGAGCCTTGCAAGTATTATGAACTACTGCTACTTCCACCACCACCCAAGGGAGCTTTTGGGTGCCAATCTCATGCAGTAATTGTGGGCTATAAAATCCAGCCTCACACACCAACCATCAGGTCCATCAGAATGGGGGAAGGAGGTTTTCAGTGCCTGTTTTCTGTGTGGTGCTTCCTCCTGGTGTAACAGGAGGAGTTTCTGAACCCCATTTCTAT